CGGGCTCCTCGCCAGCAGCGGCGCGGGAGAGGGGCGACCCGCGCCCGGGATCCTCGTCTCCCAGCCAGGTCTTCGCTCCCCTCAGCCCGCAAAGTCTGCCAGCGAGGCTGATCAGAATCAGTCGTCCGAGCGTGGCCTGCACGCGGCCGCGCTCGGCGCGGCGAACTTTCAGTAGACAGAGTGGCTCGGCAGCGGCCACAGACGGGCGGCACCGCCCGGTGACTCCGCTGCCTGTCTCGAGCCAACACAGCTACGGCAGATGGATGAAACTCAACCGTTATCCATCAACGGCGTCGCGCACGCTCAGGTGGACTCCGCATAGGTTTCCTTGGAAGGTTCATATATATATGTATATGTATATATCTATACATATACATAGCCGACGTCGGCATCCACTGATAACCTCCTGTCCCCTGATCCCCCCTCGCCGATCCCAGCAGTGGGGTCGCAACTTCCTTTACGAAGCGCCACTTCCTGGAAGAAACAAGCACCCAAGAGCACCGCGGAGCCTTGCAGATCCCAAACGTCCAGAAACCTCCGCGAGCTTGGATCGTGGAAGTTATTAGGTTTTCAAGCAGAACTGGTGACCGCCCTTGAGGCGCCCTCCCCTTGGCACTGCCCGACCCGCGTCGAGGGAACGTTGGGGGGGCGCCAGGGAAGCATCGCGCTGGAATCGGCAAAACATCGTCGATGGGCCCCCGATGGCGGATCCGCACGTCCCTGAGCGGGGTGGGCTACCAGGCCCCTATCGTGGATGAGTGGGCGATCGGGGGTCGTTGCGTCCCCCCCGAACGCATCCCCCCCGAACGTTGCCCCTGACCCCCGTCGCAGACGCGTTCCTAAGACCTCCGCGCGTCGTGACACAAATGACGGCGGCATTTTGCTGGCCATTTTCGGCCTCCGGGGGCCCGTGCCAGGCGCCCGGGCTGTGGGAAAACGGCTTGCGATGAAAAGCCAATCTTGGGAAAATGAAGCGAACCTCTGGGGAACCACGTCGTGGAAGCATCACGAGGTTAGAGGTGTGGGTCACAAGCCTCAGCGCGGACTGCTATCAGACAGGAATGTCGCGAACCTCGGCGGGCCATACAAAAATTCTTAAGCCTGGGGACCCGGGACTGTTTTCTCATCTTGACCTTTTTTCTGATGGCCCGTGGGCCCGGTGAGGGCCCCCCGAAACCGAAAACTGTCAAAAACCTACCGTCCTAATTTTGTCACGACGCGATGGATTCTGAGATTCATAAGACCGAGTTGAACAGGACCCGACCGTCTGGACATTCCTATAAGCCTATTGCGAAAATGTCGCCGGACACATACATGTCACAGAACACATGGTACGGAAAACATGAAACAAATATATTGAACCATACTTCCTCAGTCAGTACAGCTCCAGGCGCATCCCGTTCAAACCACACAATTCCTAGAATATTATTTGGTGGACCTATAATCGCGACCCGGGCATAATCAAGCATGCCCGCTTCACCCTTGTATCTCTTTACCCCGGGATTGAAGATGTTTCAAGTGCACTACAGGTGGGAAGGCCAACTATACGATCCCCTCCCCAAAGTCCCAATCGCAGCTCGATCTCCATTTCAAGGATCGCACCATGCATAATCCTTCTCAGCATTGTTGTGAGGATGTCCCAGGCGAAACACACAACTTAGAAGATCCACATAGTTCGCTACTATCATGTGCTCGATTGAATGTGTGGAAAAAGTGCTGCTTGTTGTGGAAAGCACTGTCGCAAACATGAATTTGTTGTGAGGCTGTCTCAAGCGAGACGCTCAACTTGTCGAGCTCATCCTCGCTTTCTTCCGTCCCCGCAGACATCCGAACATCTATATCACCGGGCAAACCTGATTCTCCTCCCTGGACCCCGAGACTTCCTCATTATCCTCAGGGGATGATACTCACCAAGAGACGGTTCATGGGAGCAAGCGATTCAACGCGGGACGGACGATGAAAAAATTGGGGCCGGGACAACGATGAAAAATTGTGCCCGGACGATGAAACATTGTGGCCGGAGCAACACACTTTCTGGGACGGACGATGCAAAATTGTTTCGCGGGCCTCAACGCCACCGCAACAGCGGGGGGGGGGGGCGGGGCAGGCAGACGGAGGGCGCACACTCCCCGGCTGTCCGGAGGCCCCCGGGGGGGGGGCGCGGTCTGACAATTCAGGGCGGGGGGGCGGGGGGTCCATCCAGAGCCTGGCAAGCGAGAGCTCGGGAGGACTTCGCGGGCGGACGAGTCGAATCAGCACGGGGCGGAGAACTCGACGCCTCGAGGGTTGATTCTGGCCAGCCCTGAATGGGAAGTAGAAGTTTCAGATCCGCCAGTCCTGCGCGGGAGGCAGACATTCTGCGCCGCCTTCAGACAGCGACCTCCTTCCCCACCTCCTCTTCCTATTCTCCTCCCCCGCCTCCTCTTCCTCCTCCTCCTCCTCCTCCTCCTCCTCTTCCTCCTTCCCTTCGCTGTTCTATCCCTTGTCACCTTCTCCCTGCTAAGTATTGCTCCTCTACAGTTATTCAATATGAATACTATTCCCCGTTCTCCCCATGATGCACTCAGGTGGATTGCCTGTACCCCTTCGCGTATTGCGTTTTCAGTTGCACACAGGTTTGGCACGATTCCGCAAGGCGGCAAAATAAAACGCCGGGGAAAGCAGACGATGAAAAAAACAGTTTCCGGCAGCTGGATTCTATCAGTCTGCCCCACTCATTCATTTTGGGGCCCCCGGGGACAGGGGTGGGGATGGGGCATTTCCTTAATCGTTTGCCCCCATTATAGGGAGCCCACAAAGGACGTACGCGCCCAGCTATGTACATGAACACGGCCCTTCGATCCGCGAGACGGGCCGCGATATACGCTCATTTGCGCAATGCGTACTCTCGAAACCAGCGTGGATTCATGTACGTGTACGTCCTTCTGTCGCTCCTGACATTACCCAGGTCAGGACGCATTCGCCCCGGCTCGCGTGACTCTCGTACCGGCCAGAGGTCCCGACATCCTCCCTGGGGGTAGTTTTCAGTCGCGGGGCCCGGACACGGCCCCCGAGGGCCGAAACCGAAGCAACACCGCCTGGACTGAATCTTCACACCGTCGGATAGCAGAGTTTGCATCGTAAGAGTACTCAACAAAGCGGCACAACCTTCGAATTCCTCAAAAAGGTCCGCGCGGCGCTGGATGCCCCTAGGGGCGGCGCCGGAGGCGCCGCCAGGGGGTCCAGCGCAAATCCACGGAATCCGTTCGGACTTCCGAGAAATGGTGTGTCACGCAGTTTTCTTGTTCTTTCGTTCATGGCGACTTTAGATGACTCCCCAATGGGATCCGAGTAGAGAGGTCGGAGGATCACGCCGCATAGACGATACATCGGTGATGCATCGGGGACGTCGACGTGAAGAAAACGGGGATCCGAATCGAATCGCATTGCCGATGCATCGGCGATGCGGAGCGATCCTTCGACCAGGGCGCGAGTCACGCAGAGTTTTCCGAGTTCGTTGTGTTTTTGTTGTCCGTCGTTCTGTCTTCGTTCCGCCTTTGCTGCTAAACAAGATCAGAACGAAAACGATGCACGAAATAGCCAAAACACCGCTTAGCTCGCGCCCTGCCTTCGACCGCATCCACGGCAGATTCGTGTCGTGGCCCCCCCTGCGCTGGTCTCCCACATCGCGTGGATCGCTCAAGCCCAAAAAGATCGGCGGCTTTTCGATCGCCAGAGCGTTCTGGATTCGCCGATTCTGAAGCACCGGCGGCGTTCAACCTTGAACGCCCGTGGCGGGGCCGCCACGGGACCACACAAACCCGCTGTACTCGGAATCCATTTCCGGGGACCTACAGAAGAGGTGCCTACGCAGGGGATTTACAGTAACTTTATATAAACACGAACTTTCGGAGGTCCGCACGATTTTTTTGTACATACGCTGGGTCCCCCTCCCTGGCGCGCAGAGCGCGCCAGGGGCAGCGCCAGAGGCGCCGCCAGGGGGGGCACAGCGCAGAGCCGAGAAATCGGCGCGGAGCTCCGAAGGTTCATGTTTATGTCATTGTTTGTCCCCCGATGACTGTACTCCGACCCCGATTCTGGGAACCTAAAACCATCGCCCCTGATCCCCTGGCATAAACGAAACGGGTCCCGAAGAAAATTGGCCCTGGACCCGCGGGGCCTTCTCCCCAAACCATGTTTTCGACATGAGTCGTTTGTTGACGGCCCTGAGTCGTCTGTTAACGGTCGCCGTCGTCGTCATCGTCGACGGCCCCAACCCCCCTGAGGGGCAACGATATGGGGGGATATGCAGGGGGGGGGGGACATCGACCTGGAATCGGCGATACATCGCCGATAAATCGGCGATAGGTCCCCGATAATGAATTCACACGTTCTTGGGCAGGTTCTTGCCATCGCTCGCCATTCCCCGTGTATGTTTAGTTTTCGTGCGAATTCGTGTTGCTCGATGATCCAGGATGCTCGTTGGTGGCCCTCACCGAAAAACAAAAAAAAACACGTCCGAGCGGTGCCAAGGGTTGGGGCTATCAGGCTCCTATCAGCGATCAATGGGCGATTGGGGGTCGATGCATCCCCCTCCCATATGCCGACCGCCCCCCCCTGTCGTTGCCTTAGGTCGGGCATGTCCTCCTAAAGGCGGATGTTGGAAGAAACATTAAAAAGTCAAACAATATGCAATTACATCATCTCAACTACTAAAATAATAATCCCCCGACCATGTGTTTGACTCTTTCCAAGTATTCCTCCTGTAGAGGGACACGCACGACTTAATCGTTGCCCCTGGCCTCGGGGAACAAAGAGTGGCATAAACATAACAACCCGGAGGTCCGCGCGGATTTCTCGGATCCGCGCTGGGCCCCCCTCCCTGGCGCGCGGACCGCGCCAGGGGCAGCGCCGGAGGCGCCGCCAGCGGGGCCCAGCGCCGATCCGCGCGGACCTCCGAGTTGATATGTTTATGCCATTGCTCGTTTCCCTAACCGTTGCCCCTGGTCCCCCCGCGGGGCCATCGCGGAGACGCCCGCGGCCGGCTGCCGGAGGCCCCTTCAGGCCGAGGGGCGGCGGGGCCGCGGGCGCGGGGCCGCCGCCGCCCTGAAGGCAGGGGCTCGCGGACGCGCGGCGCCGGGGCCAGGCCGCGCGGCGCGGAGCCGAGGCGACTGGCTGCCGAGGGGGGGAGGGGGGCAGGAGAGGGCTACTCCTCCTCCTCCTCCTCCTCCTCCTCCTCGTCCTCCTCCTCCTCCTCCTCCTCCTCCTCCTCCTCCCCTCTTCCTCCTCCTCCTCCTCCTCCTCCTCCTCCTCCTCCTCCTCATCATCAGGGGCAGCAGAGGGGCAGGGCAAAGAATCCGCTCACGTGGCTGGTTTTCCTGGCGCCTCATGGCGCTGCGAGGCGCACATGCATCGAGGAAGGGGTCCGGCGGTGGGGCCGAAACCGGCTGCGTGCAGCAACTTTCGTGACCCTCCCCCGTTCCCTATCCGCCCTTCTCGTTCGGCCCGCGGGTGAGAGGGGGAGAGGGCCCTCATCACCAGTCGAAGTGGGGGAGGGGGGAATAAGCTATGGTGATAGTTGTTTGATTCATTGTGTTGCCGATCAGCGGGGACCGTCGCCTCCCCCCCTGCCCCCCCCATGGAGTAGATGTTGGTTTTTGGCGCCTGTTTCGAGCAGGTGGAGTCTCTCCTAGAGGCCGCACTCTTGAAAGCAGTCGCACTAAGCAGAGGTCCGGAGCCAGACCCCCCCCTTGCCGCCCAATGTCGAAACGCCGAATATCAAAAACGCTCACTGTTCAACTCCGCGCCGATGCGGCCCGATTCGATCCACATGCCGATCCGATCCGACTTTGTCGACTCGGTCCGACCTCGTCTCGTCCCGTCTCCCTCCGCAGATTTCCGATCCGAGAACTATCTGCGCCGACCCGAGCAATCCGCGCGGACCTCCCAAAGTGTACGATTATGCCATCATCGTCAATATCATCATCATCATCATCATCATCATCATCATCATCATCATCATCATCATCATCATCATCATCATCATCATCATCATCATCATCATCATCATCATCATCATCATCATCATCATCAGCATCATCATCATCATCATCATCATCATCATCATCATCATCACATCATCATCATCATCATCATCATCAACACCATCATCCTTATCATCATCAGCATCAGCATCATCCTCATCATCATCACCATCATCCTCATCCTCATCCTCATCCTCATCCTCATCCTCATCATCATCCTCATCCTCATCCTCATCCTCATCCTCATCATCATCATCATCATCATCATCATCATCATCATCATCATCAGCATCATCATCATCATCTTCATCTTCATCATCATCAACACCATCATCCTCATCCTCATCCTCATCCTCATCCTCATCCTCATCCTCGCTGTGCAGGCAGCGGGCCGCGGCGAGCGCCGGAGCATCGGAAATCGAATCGGATCGGCCCGCGCGGCGCTGGGCCGAGGCGACCGGCCGCCGACGCGGGGCGGATGAGTATCGTTTATCCGATCCCTACCCCAGCGGCGCGGCCTGGGCCCCACTGGCCGATTTACCCTATATGGGGATATAGGTCGTTCCCTTTCGGATTTCGAGGGGTGTATCCCCAACTGGGGTGGTAATTTTTGCGGGGGGCTCGAAGGGATGGGGATGGGGATGGGGATCGGTGAAACGATTCCGAATCGAGGAAGGAGGGGGAACTCTTGGAAGTTGCTGCTGGTGGGGGAGCTCCTGGGATCCTATCTGGTGGCCCAATGCTGTGTGGTGTCACACCCCTGTGTTGGCCTCGAGATCCCCGAAGACCTCACCGCGCGGCCCGTCACCGCGTGGCTGTGGGACCTCGGAGGCGCCAGTCGCCCCAGATACATCCCTGGATCATCGCCCGCGCCCCAGAACCGTGCGGTAGCCCCGCATCCCCACAGACTCACCACGCGAAATGGTCACCACACCGATTGACTGACTGACTGAAGCCGTGCATCCCTGGCGGACGCGTAGCCAAATTGAGCGAAAGAAGATACGACGGAATGTAGAGGTGTTCAAGCACAGGAAACAGGAGACGAAGGGAGGGGGCCGGAGGAGCATCTTACCAAAGCTTGTGAACTGGCATCACCCATGGTTGTCTCGGACGCCCCTCCCTCCGGAGAAAGGAGGGAGGGTGCGAGGAGGAAGGGGCGATGGGGGAGGGGGGAGTATGTAGAATTATTGGCAAACGCAAAGGGATAGAATGATAACACGCACGCAAGCCCTTAGGGAGGAGGAACGGGGAAGGGCGAGGCGATGAAGGCGCTAGAGGTATGGGTGCGAATCGTCGGACCTCGAGGGGAGCTCCCATTCGAGCCGTGATTCCATCCAACATCACACATAGCTCCCCCCAGAACTCCACGCCGAGATATCTGGGGTCGCCTAGGTACGGGGTGGCAGAATGCCCACAAAGGCACATAGTGATGACGAAGCTGAACCACAGGAAGAGGAGGAGGAGGAGGAGGAGGACGAGGAGGAGTAGGAGGAGGAGGGAGAGGATGAGGAGGAGGATGAGGAGGAGCTGGAGGAGGCAGGACGGGCTGAATCAGGAGGAGCTGGGGCGCTGTCCAGCGCATCGTTGGCTTCCTCTGATCTTCCTCCTCCTCCTCCCGCTTCCCACGCGCCCCTTCCCCTCCACCTTGTGGGCTGAGGAGGGAGGGGAGCAACGACGAGGAGGATGAGGAGGAATGAGACTCTTCTCTTTCCGCGCCATCTTCTCTCCTGCTCCACTTCCAGTTCCTCCTCCGCCTCCTCCTCCGCCTCCTCCTCCTCCTCCTCCTCCTCCTCCTCCTCCTCCTCCTCCTCCTCCTCCTCCTCCTCCTCCTCGTTCTCTCGCCCTTCCCTCGTGCACTTTCATTCCTCCTCTTCTCTTCTTCTCCAGCTCGTCCTTCTCATCACTCCTGCACAGTTCCTGCTTCCCTCGCTCCACGGCCCCTCTTCCCCCTTCCACCTAAACCTAAGGAACGACACCAGGCAAATATGACCCCTTGACATTCGGTTCTGGGCGATCCTTGTACGCCCACACCAAAACTTCACTCCTGCGAAAGATCACCCTCACGCGTCCAGAAAATTCGTGCCGTGACGATTTGAGCCTTGGGCACTGGCCCCACCCGAATCCTCCAACCTTGGTGGATCGCGGCGTCCCGAGAACTGCCGCCAATCTCTCGATGCTGGCATGTTCCAAATTACCTGCAGCGTTCACCATTGTACGCCATGCACCACTGGGGTCGCCGCCGCATCGACGCGGCGCGAGCCTGCCGTAAGGGTTCGGGGGTCAAACATCGAGCCAGGACCACTCAAGAGGTGCGTTCTTGCCAGGCCTTGGAGGGAAATCCAGCCGTGGCCACGAGCGCGACCAAAGAAGCCCCCAAACGTCCCAAAGCCTGGAACTTCAACGCAGCGCGAACCTGCAACGCTTGATCGGCATCCCTCCGAACCACCTGGAGAAGGGGGGGACTGTACCCTGGTCGACACGGCGCCAACCTGGTCGTAGCCGACCCCCCTCCCTCGGCTACAGTAGGAGCTCGACCACAAGACACCTTCTACAAGAAATTCAACCCTGAGTCCCAGGACGTCCATTGATTTTCAGTGGAAACGCCACGCTCTCCATAGCAAAACCATCGAAATCCAAGGAACCCAGGGCACCCTGGAGGCAAACAGGGTGTTTCGTGGCATGGGGTTCCACTGTACACGCAAGAATGGCTCTAGAGTTAGGTTGGGCATGCTCTCCTACAGGCGGACTTTGGAAGACAAAAAAAGAATCAGACATTCTGGAACTGCTCGGGAAGATCATCCCCAGACTACTGTTTGACTATATTTGAATATTCCTCCTGTAGAGGGACATGCCCGACTTACCCCTAGACAAGAGCGACCTTTGGTGCGCGGCTTCAGGGAGTCGCGGCGGGGGTGGGGACGGCGAACGCGGGCACCCAGACCAGCGCTACCGCATCGCACTCGTAGGGAGAGAGAAGCGGCACAAGCATGAACCAGGCCGATCCAAGAAATCCGCGCGGACCGTCGAACGCTTATATATATATATATATATATCTATATATATATATATATGCCGCTTTGCCTGTCCGGATTCCGAGATCGGGGGACCCGTGTGGGGGCGCGCTAAAAAAGGTCACTCCGCCGAAAGGTCACTCTTCCCTGCACCCGACTCCCACAAGCATCGTGCTGCCAGAAGGGTTACCGAAGGAGGGACGAACGCGCTCTCCTGGCCACGGCGGGCCTCGGCCGAGGATAGATCCCCCGCCCGAGACGAAAGGAGCGGCCCCCAAAAACCAGAGCCCCTCCCGAGCCCAAACTGGTGCTCATTTCAGCGCCTTGACTGTCCGCGCATCGGCCCCAACACCCCACCATCCCAGAGGGCGGCGCGGCGGGCGATGCGGCGGTCCGCCGCGTCGCCCACCTCGTTGCCGGCGCGGACCACGAGCACATACCTCCAACGGGGCCCGATGGCCGGGCGCCAGAAGGGGGGGGGGCTGCGCCGCTGGCCAAGGGAGTTCTCGTGTGGGGCGTGAGGCGCGCGAGCCCTGCCGACCCCAGGAGACGCCCCGGAAGCCTCAAGAGGCCCCCAGGGGGCTCCCGAGAGGCCCCCAGGAGGCTCCCAAACTGACCCCCAGAGCCCCCCGAGAGCGCGCCGTAGAGACTCCAAGACGTATCCGCTGAGGACTCTGACCCACGTCAGCGTCGTCGTCGTCGTCGTCGTCGTCGTCGTCGTCGTCGTCGTCCTCGTCGTCGTCGTCTTCGTCGTCGTCGTCGTCGTCCCCCTTCAGGGTCGGCGGCGCTGACCGTCTTCGCAATCTCGGTGGGACGAGGGACATGCGGACCAGCGGGCCCGTTATCACAGGGGGGTATCACATATCAAAAAGAAGGCACATGAGTGGTCGGCCCGGCCAAACCCAATACCTTCGGCTCCGATGGTCAGAGCTACGTGATCACAAGGGGGGGGAGAGGAGGGGGAGGAGGGGAGGAGGGGGAAAGGGAACAAGAACATCCCTGGGGCTACGCGCTGTTCGCCCGCTTGAGCCAGGCAAGGCGCCCAGGTTATCCGCCTCGGGGCCCGCGCTGTGCCATCTCTCGCAGGCAAGCGCTGCGGGGGGCGGGGTAGATCGGGGATCGAAGGGCGCCGGAAGGGGGGGGGGGGCGCTGGAGGAGGGCCACCTCGGAGATCTCCCCATCCCAGCGGCGTTGGAGGGGGGGCGCCTGGGGGCGGGGGGCGCCCTGGGAAGGGGAGAGCGAACTCTCGGCCAACATGCTCCTCTTCGGCCGACCTTTCAGCCAAGATATTCGTCCTCGGCCAAACTTAGGGCCAGGGCCTGCTCGTTCGTCCTCGTCCTTCGTCCTTCGTCCCTCGTCCTCGGTGCTCGCAAAGGGCATGCGGTATTGTTGTTGGGCATCAGCGCACCTGCCAAGGCGTACAATAGGGAGGACGGCACCTCCTCCCTTGACACCACAGCACAGGACATTGGACAGAGAAACGCACTGGGGTGGCGCACGAGTTCTAGGACACTGCCACATACGCCATCCATAGCGGGGCGACGGAGGACGTCGCAAGCTGCCGGGGGGGCGAGTCACGCCAGAAAAGGGAACGAGGACAAAGAAGGCGAACGGGCGACAGAAAAAGCCAGCAGCCAGTCCCTCGGAGCAGCAGACACCACCATCGACTGCAAGGCCCCGCCCGACTCCTCTGGCGCACGCGCACTGGGGGTGGCGCTCGAGGCCCGTCTCGTCCTCTGCCACTTTCGCCACCCAGGAGCGCCAGGAGCCGCCGAGGGGGCACAAAACGCTAGAGTCCAAGCTGGCACGCCCCCGACAGCGGGCACCCATGGACGGAGGACAGGGACAGGAGCCCAGCCTGTACCGTGCCCCACTCGCCACAAGCTAGGTCCGAGACTTGCGCGGTCAGACGCTGCAGTCAGCAGGCTGGGCATTACTGCCCAGGATGTTACACTCGGGGTCGGCCAAGAGGGGGGCGTCCAAGAGGGGGAGGCGCAAATCATGGCCACCGGTATGTGCGCGGCCCAGAGACGTAATGACATAAGACGAGGCGCCATGAAATCTGTGGAAATATCATGGCCCACAACATAATATCCACCCTCCCTAGTCATCACCCCCCTCTTGGCTGTCCCCGAAACACCAGAGGCAGCAAGAGAAACTTAGTTCTAACGAACGTCGGATGCAAATTCGAGAACGGCGACTGGTGCACTCGGCTGGCTAGAAGAAGGCGGCCCAGCGAGGTCGCCAGCCGTGGCCGAGGGGCTTCTAGTGGCTGCACCATCTTGGCGCAGCGAAATAGCAACTCATAGGAGCTTTCTTGCCCCGTCGTCGGGGTCGTCTTGAGGGGGAGGGGGAGGCTCGAACGATGAGAATGGGATAGTACCTCAGGAAGCTCGTGCGGGTGGCCGACCGAAGGGGGCTTCCTTGGGTGCCTGATTCTTGTCACCTTGTTAAAGTCGGTGCTGCCATGCCTTATCAACTCCGACAGGCAAGACTTTGGAAGACCAGTCTTGACGAAAACAACCAGATGCCGATGGAACCCACACCTGGGGCAGAACCAGAAATCGGCGCCATCCGCACATGGGAGCTCAATCACTCTGTGCCCAAGCGCGAATCAGCAACATCGAGGCCAGCATTCGGCATTGAGACCATTCAGACTGCGTGCGCGTGCGTGCAGGAGCGCCCAGAATCGAATCGACAATTCGGGTCGGGAATCAACATGAATCAAATCGACTGAAATCAGCAACCGAATTGGGAAAAATCGAACCGGTAGACATCCACAGGCTAGTCGGCCTCCATTGAAAAATCTGATCCAAAATCGGAATCCGAAGTCGAATCGAACCGGAACGGAACCCATCGAAATCGAATCGAAACGAGCCCTGTGCGTGCGCGCGTGCGTCTGAGCGCTGCGCCCCACTTGCACACACGCACGAAGTGCGGTCTGGTCGGCCGAACCGAAGACAGCAGTGTGCGCCCACGTACAGTGGAGGCCAGTCCACAAGAAACCTTCCACAAGAAACCCAACCCTGAGACCCCAGGACGCCCACTGATTTTTGGTGTGGGAACGTCGCGCTTTCCAGAGGAACCCAGGGCACCCTGGAGGCGAGCAGGTTGTTTCTTGGCGTGGGCCTCCACAGTAAGCGCTGCCGCATTGTTCCTCATGCTTGCTTCCGGCGCTGCAGAGGCCACTGACGATTGCGCTCTGAACCAAAACAACACACACTCGGAGCTCAACTGTCGGCCGAACAACAAATTCACGCCTCCAGAGGGCTCCTCTGTGCCTGACCGCGAGAAGGCCCACTCATTCCTATGTGACTGTCATCGCGTTCCCGGGTGCCTTTGTCAACGCCACGGGCCTCTGGCTCTTCGTACGCATCTGGAAGTGCAAATGCACCCTCGCCCCCTCAGGCGATGCAAGAGATTTTGGTCAGCGCTATGTTGGAGGCGAGGAGGGGGAGCGGATGTCGCATCACGACGATCGGCTCGACGACGTAATCGTGAAACCATTGAAGTACCTCAAATGCTGCGAGCACCGATGGGGCCGGAGCACTGGCCACATCGACAGGCTGTCCTTGTGTATATGTAATCACGCGGCCACGGGACAACGGCAACATCTGTTCTCATGGCTGAGTCTTGCGCACAGGCGAATTTCGTTGGGCCGCTGGGTGTCTGAGCGTACCAGGTGGTGGCCTCGTAGTTTTCCCATGCGACACACAAGCAGTTTTGCAATCCATGGGGGGGGGCCTCGTAGGTCATCTGGGCTGGGTTAGCAAAACTCCAACCTTGATTTTCGGTAGAGCCCGACTTCGAATGCCATTTCCGTATAAAGAACAAAATGGAACACGGACACCAAAGAACTCGCTGGAGGCGCCAAACATCCCCCTCAAAAGCCTGACGGATCCTCTTGGAAAGGCCCGGAGAAAGCTGTCCAGAACAATATCCGAGGACTTCCTCCGTGACCTCATCACAAGGTTTCCTTCGTGCCCGCTGAGCTGAAACAACAAACGAAATAACAAAAAGTCGAACTACAACTGCAAAGGTAATGGCAGAAATAGTTATAGTAGCAGAAGTCGTCGTAGTAGTAGTAGTAGTAGTAGTAGTAGTAGTAGTAGCAGAAGTCGCAGTATAGTAGTAGTAGTAGTAGTAGTAGTAGTAGCAGTAGTAGTAGTAGTAGTAGTAGTAGTAGTAGTAGTGGTAATACTAGTAATAGTAATAGTAGTAGCAGTAGTAGTAGTAGTAGTCGTAGTAGTAGTGGTGGTAGTAGTAGTAGTAGTAGTACTACTACTAGTACTAGTAGTAGCAGTAATCGTAGTAGTCGTAACGGTCATAATAAAAGTAGTAGTAGTGGTGATGGTGGTGGTAGTAGCAGTAGTAGTAAAAGTAGTAGTAGTAGTAGTCGTAGTCGTAGTAGTGGTAAGAATAGTAGTAGCAGTCGACGTGGTAGCAGTAGTCGTAGTAGTAGTAGTAGGAGTAATAGTAGTCGTAGCAGTAGCAGTAGAAGTAGTAGTAATAGAAACAGGAGAAGTAATAGTACGAGTCGTAGAGGTAGTCCTCGTCGTAGTAATAGTAGTGGTAATAGTAGTAGTAGGAGGAATAGTCGTAGTAGTAGTAGTAGTAGCGGTAGCAGTAGTCGTAGTAGTAGCAGTAGTGGTATCAATATTAGTAATAGCAGGAATCAGTACCAATAATAAGAGAAAAATGTAGCAGTAGTCGTAGCACTCGGAGTCGCAGTAGTCGTAGTATCATTGGTAGTAGTAGACAAGAAGCCGCGGCCGCAGAAATAATATTAGTGGCATCCGTGGTAATAGTAATAGTAATCGTAATAGCAGTCGTAACAGCAACGATAGTACTCGGAGTAGCAGTAGTAGTAGTAGTAGCAGTAGTAGTAGTAGTCGTAGTAGTAGTAGTAGTAGTAGTAGTCGTAGTAGTAGTAGTGGTAATAGTAGCATTCGTCGTTGCAGACCTGGTCGTAATCGCAGCATTAAATAATATAAATATAGTAGTAGTAATCGTTCTCGTCGTCACCACCACCGTGGTAGTATATGTAGTATTAATCGTCCTCGTAGTGTTAAGCTCTGTCGACTTCGAAGGACATAACATATCAGTAGCAGCGTGGTATTCTAATACAGATATGAAACATTGTATGATCAGTTTTGCTGTTGGTAGAAGTAGTGGTAGTAGTAGTGGCATACGTAGAAATAGTAGTAACAGTAATAACCGCGTTCGTAGCAGTAGTCGTAGTGGTACTAATTGTAGTGGCGCTCGTAGTAGTAGGAGTAGTAGTAGTAGAAGTAGTAGTAGTAGTAGTAGTAGTTGTAGTAGTAGTAGTAGTAGTAGTAGTAGTAGTAGTGGTAGCAGTAGTAGCAGTGGTAGAATTAGCTGTAGTATTGGAAGTCGCCGTAGTCGTAGTAGTAGTAGTAGTAGTAGTAGTAGTAGCAGA